TCATGGAATTTGCGGAAAGGTGTGATATGCTTCAACATATAGCGTAGCGGTATACCGTTGAACCTGTAGATACATGTTGCCGGTTCGATCTTCCCCGCGTGTTGTGTCTTCTTCCTGCGGTAATCATCTCGAGAGAGAAGAAAGTTGCCTCTGCCGATGTATCGCTTGATCAACCCAACCGTAGAAGAGTGGAATACAAAAGGAGGGACGGGAAAGCGCTCACATATATATATATTTTCTCCTTCACACCAATCCGCGCATAACCGCTTTCCCGGCACGTTATGCCCGCTCGGCCTGTAGCCCCCCCACGTTATCCCATGTATTGACCCCTCGTTGGCCGGAGGTTACACAACGCCCCCGTACAACCGTGCCCACTGACCATCTGTGTCACAGTAGATGTAGAATCAAATAATTCTTGAGCGAAAGGCTCACATATTTATCCAGCTAGAGTAGGTGTCTCGGTATAGTGCCGGTTGAATAGTGCCAAAGTCCGGTATAGCGCCGTTAATTTTTCTTGACACAGACACAGGCCTGAATAGTGCCAAACGGGTTCTAATGAGTGCTGCCCGCTATATATAGTGCCGGTTCACACGTACTATCGAACCCCTCAATAGTGCCGGTTCACACCCCCCACAAAGCCTTTCTTCGCCTCAAGCCTTCCACACCAACAGGATTCGGAGACGATTTACCTTTCTAGCTACAAGTACAGCTCTCGTTTTCTGTTGGTACGCGTTGCGTCTTCAAATGTTATGGCTTACCGATCGACCACATTCCACATCAAATTCAGCCAATTGGTTGGGATTTCAGTAGTGAGGCGGGCAAAAGAGCGTGGTAGTGACGAAGGATGTGGAAAGAACAGCGGAGGATAGCAGTGGTGATGGAGGAGGAAGGAATGGCGTCGAGGGGAACAAGAGTTTTGAGCCAGATGACCTTCCTCACAACAAACGCCACAGGGGGGGCAATAGCGGAAATAAATACCAGTGACGAAAGCGGTGAGTGGTGGCAAATACAGCAGCAAGAATAAGCGACAACACCCCGAAAACGAACGTACGTGTGTTCAAAGAACATACTTAGTAGCCTTGGCAGACACGTGCAGTTTTTCTCTGTTGCTACCGGTTCTGTCTTATGTACGTAGAGAAAAGACCAAGCCTTCAGAAGTAAGATAATCGACTGGCCAACCAAAAGATATGTCAGTTTCAGTGCGGTTGAAAACAGAAAATATTTGTTTTGCGGGGCCTGATTTGGGACTCGTCAGGACGGAAGCTGAGCTCTGTTCTCCGGTATCTGTAAAACGCTACCTAGTAGTATTTTTATCGAAGGAACAGGGTGGTTTGGTATCTTCTTCACCCCTTTCGGTTGCAAATGCTTTAGTTGTACTCATGTAAGGAGCACTATACATCCATCCATGTCGTACCTCCAAAAACGTTTACATCGTGTGCGTGCATGAGCGTCGTTCTTTTGCTGTCGAGCGGGGCCTTTGAAGTTGCCTGGGTAGTGCTACGGCCTTCTTGCCACAACAATACATCATTTGATAGCGAGGTGACTTTCAATCGGGCAGCACGGTCTATGGATTAAAGGCAGCGGCGACGTTCACTACCTTAGGGTGTGCGCTGAGGTGGGAAGAGAACCATGGTGCAGCCTCGCAAAACTTTAAAGAAGCCTGCCCACGTTGCCCCCCTCACAATTGATCCCTATACCGGTCGTTTGGTACGCTCTGTCAGCCTCGCAATACGTAAGCGCTGCACCCTGAAGGCCAACAGTCCTCACGAGTGCCAAGTCGGCACTTTGAGAGAATTTTAGACCCTGAATAGTGCCGGCTTGGCACTATTTTAGGCACGATTCTGTATTGTGCCGGTAGCCGGTGAGGTGCCGGTCCCCCCCCCCCCCCCC